AATGTAAATATTATAAATACTTATGAATGTATAATTTCTGTTGGAATGAATACAAGTTAAATCAATCAATATACAGGAGGATGGTTTCCAAATGTCTGCTGGGAAAAACTATATTTTTAGTTGTAGAAATTAGACTGTCTGGTTCTGGTCTATTTGTCGGTTTGACTTGATGTGAAGTGACCGAAGCCGATGATTTCTGTTCGGGAGCAGTGTCTCAGAGGAGTGCGATCTTCACATCAGAGCTGACAGGAACACGGACCGAGTGTACAAAGCCAAGACGGCCGAGAAGGTGATAAACTAACATCGCAGCAGGCAGGGCATCAGGAGCACGAGAGCCAGCACCAACATGCATCTACAATACTGCAACATTTTCACTCACTTCACTCGAGTGGGAATAACAAGTTCAACGGATGATTCACTGTTATCACTATTGGATGTGAGATTGTGCTTGTCGGCTTATGACCGAACAAATAATAACGGCAAATGGCTAAAAATGGAGAGTGTACAGATGAAGTTGCAACTTTCCTTTCTCCTCTGCTGTAGGTCAGTTATTTTTTTTACCACAATTGTCCCTGTTGGCTCAGTGCCACAATATTCCGAGAGGTAATTCTTCTTCATATCACTGCAGAGATAATAAACCAGGCAATGACTAAGTTTCCGCCATGTTGCATTCATAATTGTGGTCCGAGAAAGTAAAACAATAATTCAGGACATTCTACATGGATTCTAAATATAATCTACTATAATAGTGTTAGCGTTTATACATTGCTTTAAACGATTATTCAACTAAAATACAACTTTAACCAAAGCTGATATCCTCTTACACTATGTGCCATTTTTCTGACGACTGAAAAATCCTGTAAAAACTAATATGGAATCCGGAGTGCTGGACTCCGGATTCAAGCTGGACTCTTTATGTAGCTGAAGGCCTGTAGTTTAAGCCTCTGGTGACTCATTTACTCTATTTATACATATTTATTTGACTGCAGAACGGTTTTAAACAATTCCCATTTCACAGCTTATGCACATTCAACTGGAAATCAGATTAATGGATTTGTGATAAAAATAAAAAGCTCCAGGTGGATAAAATAAAAGTGCATAAAATCCCTATTAACTTTTTTGCAAATGTTTGACTATATTTTTTATTATTGCGTTTCGAGTTTGAACTGGTCCTGATTGTTTTGACTGGAAATAAGAGGGATAGATCTTCATTTAGATTTTTCACATTTCCAGGACTTTCATGCTTAAATCGACCACAATGGCTGAATTTGAATGCATTTATTTGATCAGGAACAACAAGATGTTAACACATAAAAGTACATCGGGATTAAGAGAGGCTGCCAATAAAAGTAAAGTACCTGGATAATCAAATCTATGTACTTATAACCAAATAAAATATAAAATTTATGTTTCGGGGCATCGCTGTAGCACTCCTCTCACAAGTTATAGCTGTGAAAGCCTTGCATTGGGATGGATATGTAACACTGTCAAAATGCATTTATTGTAAAGTCAGCTATAAAATGTCATCTGAGATTTTCCCCCCACGACATGTGGATTAAAAGGAATCATCTCTTCAATTTGCTTCTTTCCTGCTCCATTACATCCGAACACGAAGATAAGCTAATGCGTTGGAATGGAGTATTGAGACAGATAAACGATGGATTTGTACAAAGTCGTAAGCACTGTCTGTCGAACAAGATTATCTGAGACTTCTTGAGCAAACATCATAAATATTGTGTATCCAGAAAGAGACCACACCTTTGTTTACCTGTTACACAACGCTGTAAACAATAATGAATGATCTCAGAGAAAGAAATATCACGTCATGTTTCTGCATTGATGTAAAAGTGGTGCTTCAAACATGTCCACTTCAATTACCGATGAAATAAATGACCAGCCACCTCTGCTGCTGCACAACATGAAAGAGAGAAAATTGGTTTAGCAGGCTAGATTGAACAAAAAAAAAACAAAAAAAACAGCCTACCTTCAATATGAGCAGAGATAAAGCGCTTATTGTATGGTCAAGGTAACTCTACACCAGTGATTCAACACCTCCCAGCACTATCCAACAGTCACGTGATCATATCTGGACTTTTTATTATAAGCAGTGTATTTGAATGGGAACATCTTGCAGACTGCGCCAACATTGCCAATTCCCTTCATACAAGTTATTTTGAACAAACTTTTTGCATCTATATGAACACAGTAAGAAGAAACCACTGTTTTCTATCTATGCATGTGCAGAACACAACACAATACAGAATCATATATGGTCCAGATGGCATGTAAGAAACTACTGGGGTTATTATGTTCTGTGTGAGCTTGGCAAACTATGTCTGTGAGGGTGAAAGATGGAGGAGATGAAACCTAATATAAATCAGCACTGACAGAAGAAGCAGCTCATTTTTCTGACCACCGGTGCTGCAGCCTGCATACAGCACCTTGTTTAATCACCATAGATGCCTTTGTGTTGAGCGTCACGATTCACATGTTGGTTTTTAATAGCAATATGCTGCATATTTCTTCTGTCAATACTTTTTATAGTTCAAATGAATTGACTTGCATGGCCGAGTCATGCTTGATTTGTGCATTGGAGTAAAATAAACAGGCATCAAAGAGACATCCACGGCTCCCTGAAATGATCCTGGATATCTCCAAGCCAGACACAGTGCACACTCAGACTCAGAGCAGGTTATTAACATTGCCGTGTCACGCCGCTGTCACTCACACGTTCTCTGAGGGGACAGGCACACACAGGCCAACAGCATGTAATTACAGTGACATTATTTGCTTGTTGGGAGGATGAAGCTGACCTCGAACATAAAAGAACTGCTCTATTTCTGTTTTCTGTCATTAAACACACATGGCCCACAGCTAAAGGCACAACGACCTTATTCATCGTGAGTCTCACCGTATGTGTCTTTGTACGGGGGCACGGTGACGTCCTGCAGGCACTCGGTCCAGCCCTCCTCCTCAGCCTGACTGTGGGAGAGAGACCCCGGGGGGCCACTGTGTCCGCTGTGTCCATTGTCCTTCTCGCTGCGCCTGTGCTGGTGTGTCTGGTCCTCTTCGCCTGTCTCCCCGGTGTAGTGATCTGAGTCCGATTCTCCCGAGGTGCTGTAGAAAAGGTTGTCGCTGCTGTCATCCCCAGACTCGCCGAAAACGTCATCGGAGATCTGCAGGCTCTCGTACCGGGAGCGGGCCGCCTCCAGCAGGGACAGCGCCTTCCGCCCGCACTCCGCCATCTCTCTCCACTGATACCGACAGTGGTCACGGCTTGTCTTCACAGCACCTTTTTGTCTTATCGCGTAAAGCAAAATACACAGACAATCCAACTACTGTAGTTCCCGCAGGTTCAAAGCAGACCGCTCAGTATCTGACGGTGTCCGGTAGGAGCTGTCCTCTCCAAGGGTACTGAAGCACGCCGCTGCACGCTGCTGCACTCTGGGCCATATGGTGCTTGTAGTAGCTTCGGCTTCTCGGCAGCTCACAGATTTTCCTCTTACACAAGTGGAGAGAGAAAGTAGAGGGAGGCTGCGCCAGCATCACCTGACTCCATGTGGTCCTCCCCTGCCGTCCAATAGGCGTGGAGAGGATGCAGAGCCAACCTAGAAAATGCGGTTGGGGCATGGATCTATAATAATTACGGGTTGGGGACTTGAAGCAGAAGCAAGCGATTTTTTGTGCTAATATAGACTTAAATAGTTATATCTTCCAAAAGCCATCACTTATATAGAGTGTTTGGACTGAAACACGAATCTCTCACTCGTTCCAGCTTTGAGTCTTGGTCAAAATATTTCTTGTATCCTACACTTTTTATCCAATCAAGAGAGAGATCCATGAGAGATCTATAATCTCTCATGGATCTCTCTCTTGATTAATAATAATAATAGTTTTAGTAAATCATATGTGGCTAAATTATATACATATGCTGAAATGAAATTTTGCGGATCTTCGTTTCAAATTTAATCTTCAATCAGCTGACTTCTTCAGACATTCAAATCTGTAATTTTCTAGTCTAATACCACTTCATTCCCGACTTCACCTCCACATTCTGGTATTGACCTTTTGTCTCCTCTGGCAAAAAAATCGAAACGTCATGTTTTTCTTATATGACCTGCTCGTACCAAATTCGCCGCCTGCATTGGCCAAGATAAAAATAGAATGAAAATTGGTGGTCTGCGGCACTTAGAGAAATAAAGTCCTGCTCATCTTGTGCAAGATTTCAAGTGATACAATTCAAAGTGGCCCACAGGTAAAAATATACCCAATCGCGTCCCAGAATCTGCTGAAGAAACACTGGCAAAATCGTATGCATATTCCCCTTCTCGGAGTCCTCTGATGACGCTGAACGAGGCAGCGACTGACCTGAATGCTGAGATCATGGCAAGAATGGGCACAGGGCACAGACACCGGTTACAGCGGTTGTGTGAAGTACCACCTAAGGATCTGTAGATCCTACCCAGATCGGTACCCAAAAGTACAGCCGGACGACCAGACTGGCTATGGATACCGCATCAGTAGCAGAGCAATTAGTCACCTCCTCTACATGGATGACATGTACGCCAAGAGCGAGAGAGACATTGACTCTCTGATCCAAACCACCAGGAACTACAGCCACACAATCTATAGTGTATCTAGCTGTTATTAAAAATTGGAGGAAGCTTCTGTTGGCGTTTCCCTGTCAGCTCCACCTCACCTGGACAAGCCTTGTGGCATGTTGACTCATGGAAGCACAAACCCAAAGACTTCAGTTCCTAGGTGGCTAATGTCAATGTTGTATTGGTGGATATGGAGATTGTGGAGGAAAAAAGGCTTATGTGCAGTAATGCGGAGATTGCTTGTCTCCAAGATGAAAATGTTTAATGTCACACTGTGGAAAAAAACATTTAGGGGGAGACAAGCCTATAGCAGATTCCACCAGATGTGTCGCATAGTGACAGATCATGAAAATAGTTAATGATATTCTGAAAGTTTGGTGGCCTCCATGTAGTTCTCATGCATTGACCTCAGGGATATGGTGACGTGTTTCATATGTTTGTTTTGTTTTTGTTTTTTGGGGTACAGTGACGTGTAGTGACGTCACTTCACGACACGCTTCTGTCTTGCAGGCTGCAGACAGACCGTTACTATAATGTCTCATAATATCTATGAGACAGACCCTTCTCTTCCGAATTTTTGAAGAGTAGGATGATGGAACTGAGAAATAGGGAGTTCACTCTGCAGAATGTATTGGAGTGTAGTAGGGCCCAGATAAGAGATCTGGTGGGATTTCTAAAGGGTATAGGAGTTTGAGTAGAGCGTCTACGATACTATTTTATTTTTGTTCTTTTTTTTTCTTGGAATCATGATTTAGCCTGTGAGTTCACTGTCTGTCCCATACTCCAGAACAGTAGGAGGCGGTAATGCTCCTTTAGCTGGTTGCAAACCGCCGTTAAACAAGAAGAAGAAGAAGAAGAAGAAGAAGAAGAAGAAGAAGAAGAAGAAGAAGAAGAAGAAGAAGAAGAAGAAGAAGAAGAAGAAGAAGAAGAAGAAGAAGAAGAAGAAGAAGAAGAAGAAGAAGAAGAAGACCCTTCTCTTCCACTGTGAAATGAGCAGAAAGTGAAGTGTCTCTACAGCAGGGGGCGCTGTGTCCTTCCTCTCACCTCTCTTCTCGCTCGTGGGTTTGTCTTGCCATGTTTGCGGAAGTACTCGGTTTGGCGTACACTGCAAACGCATTTTTTTGTTATTTATTTTAATTTGCGGGGATTAAAATGAATCTGCCTAAAGGGCCAGAGTCTTTATGCTTCGATAAAGATGTTTTTATGAAGGTAAGATGTTTTTTAGGTCGTAAATGATTTGTATGAAAACCACCGGGTAGATAGCTAAACAATGCTAATACACTGTGAAGTGAAATATATTGTACAAGCTAAGACTAGAACATGAATTACAAGTGTAATGGTTATCTTTATAACGTCATGTGTTCTGTGTACAGTCTGTAATGGCTTTGTCTTTTGACAGGATGATTTTGACGTGGACCAGTTCGTGTCAGAATGCAGGAAGAAGGTGCAGCTGGAGGAGATGCGAGAGGACCTGGAGCTTTACTACAAGTTACTCAAAACTGCTATGGTGGAGCTCATTAACAAAGACTATGCGGACTTTGTCAACCTGTCCACCAATCTGGTCAGTTGTCATTCTCACTCTGTGACCGATGTAACCTCAGCCTTATGTGCTATTCCCAATTTCTACTATTGAAGAGTTCATTTGCAAAAACTTGTCAAAAAGTTGTATTCCTCGAGCTACGATCTTATTTGTTATTGGCAGTAAATCTGAAAGGATTTACTTAAGAAGGGGTGATACTATTCGTATGGCACAAACCCTAACCCTAACTTCGTAAAGGGCAAATGTTACGCCTTTTAGATATTTTTTCCCCAATGGCATTTATCGTTTTGTGCATATTAACTATTAAACTTTCCACATTGTAGATGCATAGTTCCTTGACTTGCTTTTTTTCTCTTTTCACAGGTGGGGATGGACAAGGCCCTCAACCAGCTGTCTGTTCCTTTAGGACAGTTACGTGAGGAGGTGATGGTGAGTGCTGTTATTGTGTTTATTGACGTTCACTTTTTAATGAATTGTTTTGCAGTGCTTGAGGTCTTGTGTGAATGAAGTAATTCAGTCTATAGACAAGCAGTTGACCAGACAGGAAGATCTACAAAATAAAAAGGTTGTTGTTATTGCATGATTACAACTATAATTACATTGACTTCACATACAGCCTTTATTAATATGTACTATATTATTCCATCAGGCGTGTGTTTTACGACTGATACAAGTGGTGAGATCTGTAGAGAAGATTGAGAAGATCCTACATTCCCAAAATGCCAAAGAGTCAAACTCTTTGGAAACAAGCAGGTGAGGCAATTATAGTGAATTCACACAAATCCAATGAAGATGCAAGAATTAACAATACATCTTTCCACAAACCAAAATTATAGATAGTTTATTGTATTTGAATGCTGTACGTATGTGATTGACGTGTATCTACCTTGTCTGCAGTCCTTTGTTAGCAGGTCAGATCTTGGAGAGAATAGCCACAGAATTCAACCAGTTGCAGTTTCACGCTGTGCAGAGCAAAGGCATGCCCCTCCTGGATAAAGTCCGACCTGTAAGTGATGTAGGGGGAATATAGATTTAACAAAAACCGTCATTTTACTTTTACGGCTTGGATAACCGTAGAAAATTAGAATACTGTTCAAAAGTTCATTTATTTTGTTCATTCAACTTCAAATGTGAATCCAATTTATGACCTAGACTCACTACAGCATAGAGCCATATGCCAGCCTTTGTTTGTGGTCACTTTGACGATTGTGGCTCACAGTCCATTTTCCAAATATTCACATTTTCTGAGATGTTTTATTTGGGTTTTTTACAGCTGTGAGACAAGATTATGAGATCCTTTGTTCGTCCCAAAGTGAGCATGCACAAGATACATGTATAATAAAACATATGATAAAATCTAACTCTAGCATAAAAACAAGCTGTATAAATCTCTATATTTAGCATAATAAGGAAAGATGTCTAAAATCTCCAACTTTAGTATACTGAAGAAGCAAGACTTAAGTACAAAAACGCATCCCTTTACTGTAATGAGTCTATCATATTTTTGTTTCACATTATTAAAAGTTATGAGTTAATTGACTTTTGAAAAATATTCAAATTGTCTGAATTTCACCTGTTTGTTGTTTTCTAAATAACTAAATATTTCCATACAAAAAAATCAGTAAAACCTTTTATGTCAGCGTATTGCAGGTATCACTTCGATGCTCCAGCAGTCTCTGGAGGGTCTGCTCATCGAGGGTCTTCAGACGTCCAATGTGGACATGGTGCGTCACTGCCTCAGGACTTATGCAACTATCGATAAGACCAGAGATGCAGAGGCACTGGTGGGACAGGTGCTGGTCAAACCCTACATGGATCAGGTGAACGAGCCGGCACAATGATGAGAAGTTCTGTTTTAAAACAAAATATGAATCGATTATTATTTTGATATATATTTTAGGTCATACTGGAAGAAGCCGTGAAGTCTAGTCCCACTGGTCTTCAGGTGATGTATTCCAGACTGTTGGACTTTGTGCCTCATCACTGCAGATTGCTTCGAGATGTGACTGGAGGCGCCATCTCGAGGTATTGTGTTGATGTTAGAAGGACCTTTACAGTTCATGGCAATTATACTGATGTTTGGTCGTCTTTATCCAGTGATAAAGCGGACACAGTGCCTGGCTATGACTTTCTGGTAAATTCTGTGTGGCCAGAGATTGTCAAAGGAATAGAAGAGCGGTTGGCTTATCTCTTCAATCCTGGAAATCCTGACATATTTTATGAGGTAAGACACGGATTCCCGTCGTGGGATCACTGTGATGTCAATTATTGCATCTGTTGAATTTTTTGCACATGTGTTTATATTCTTAGCGATACAGCACAAGTATGGAGTTCATTCGAAAGTTTGAACGTCAGTGCAGCTCACAGGCGAGTGTGAAGAGGCTGAGAGTCCACCCTGCCTTCGTTGGCTTTCAGAACAAGTGGAACCTTCCGGTCTACTTTCAGCTACGGTACACAACATTTCAATGTGGATTTTAGTTACACATTTCCAACTAAACCATCTGGTATAGTTGGATGGTCAGATAGTATTATGACAATTCTTTATAAATGCTGACTTGATGAAGCAGTCTAAAATGTGTTTCAGCACATTCAAACATCAATAATTTCAAATGTAAAGTGTCATCATGCTTATTGATTTGTGTGAAACTGGAGAAGAGTAGATCTGTGGCCACCCACACTCGGGTTATTAAGTACACAAAGAGCTGGTTGTTTGCTCCGTGTAAAAGAGAGCCTTTCCCAGACTGGAAAGCTGGGAAATAAAAAAACAAATATTGATTGAATGTTTTCTTTGGATTCCAGATACAAGGAAATTGCGGGAACCCTTGAAAACTCCATTAGTGATGGTTTAGAGACAGCACAAGGTATTACTACAGTCACATGTTAAAAGCGGAGTAAAAAATGAGCTTTATATAATGTTCTTATTGTGAGTCTTGTCTGTTCACATCTAGCTGGTAGTGCTTTCCACCTAAAGGCGTCTGAAGTGTTATGGTCGTGTTTGGTGAAGTGTTGGTCGGACCAGATCTATCTGTCGCCTCTGGCTCATCGTTTCTGGAAGCTCACATTGCAGCTTTATTCTCGATATGCAAAGTTCCTTGAAGAGGTAAGAAACACTGCATACTACACGTATCACTCTGATTATGTACAATGTGCAGTGTTAAAAATTGTTATCATCTTCTTCTCAGGTTTTGACCAAACCCTCAGTGCCAGAGGTGCCTAAAGAACCAGCCAGGCCTTTGCCGAGCTCAGCCTCCTCTACCTCCAGTCGCACATCTCTGGAAGACGGGGGTAGTGAGAGCGGTAGTCCTACATCCTTGTCCACTAAGCAGCTGGTCTACATCGCTGCTGATGTACAGAAGCTACAAGAGCAGGTGTGTATGAATCACACTTTTATTTTGTATGACATATATTATATTCTATGTGATTCAATTGTATGTTGACAATGACTGATGATTGGATTTTTAAAAATGACCAATGTTATTTCTTATCTGTTTGTTTGTGGTTTTCCAGATACCACAGCTGTCAGACATGGTCAGACATAGATTAGAAGCTTTCAATTTTACAAACTTCTCAATAGTGGAAGGTGAACATCCAATTCATATAAACTGTCTATACTTCTTAGTAATCATTCAGAACTAAACAATTACTAACTTGAAATCATTAACCCTCCACCAAATCTTCAGATGCTCTTGCGGATTCAAAAGCTTGCCTCTCCAGCAGCATTCCCAGTCTGGACACTCGTATGACGCAACACCTCACCGAGCGATGCTGCCGCTTTTTGAAAAGTGCCTCTGAGGTTCCTCGACTATATCGCAGAACAAACAAGGTCTGGATTTTTTAGAACTGACAGAAACTTACATTGACTACAGCATAGCTTTGAATGGATCAGTCAAGAATTAGCCTGTGTCAGAATGATTGTTTTGATAAATGATCTCTCCAGGAGCCGCCTGTTCGAGCGTCCGCGTACATGGACAACGCCCTGCGCCCCTTGCACCAGGTCCTGACTGACTCCACTGGATTGGTCAGTCCCTCCACGGCCCAACAGTGGTTACTAGTTACTCTGTGTGACTGTACGCAGAGGTGAGATGGCCGCACATTCTTGTTATAAGCGACACTTACATTTACTGATAACTGTCTGTCTGGTAGGTACTATGACACCATCTCCGAGGTGCTGAGCTCAGTGAGAAAAATGGAGGAGAGCCTGAAACGCCTAAAGCAAGCCAGGAAAGGACAGAGTGCAGCGGCCACAACAGGAGCCAATGGAGGAACCACGGACGACACCAAGATCCGCCTGCAGCTCGCCCTGGATGTGGAGTACCTCGGGGAACAGGTACCAGACACAAGCTGTGAACTGGAACTGGACAAAGCACTTTTGCATTTTTGTATACGTACTTCTTTATTAAGATAAGATAAACTTTATTGATCTCACAATGGAGAAATATACATGTCACATTGGCATAGATAGGATCACTCGGGCTGTACAAAAAGAAGGAAGTGTGCAAGCATGTTAGAATCTTAAACTATATGTCTCTTTTGTGCTGCAGTCAGAAATGTTGTACTTAATTCTTGCTTTGTCCTGCTAAAGCTAGATATTCTAGACTTGTTAAAGTTAGAGCTTTTATTTTCTTTTAGTATTATTGTAGTTATTTTTCATGTATCTTGTGTGGTGTGCTCCTCATTCTTATTACTATTCTTACCGGTGATGCAACACTGCTCCCACTGTGGGACGAATAAAGGATCTCTCAATCTTAATCTTAATCTTGTATTTTATATCACTTTCATTCACATTCCTTCTTGTCTGTTCCAGATTGAAAAAATGGGTCTACATCAAAGCGACATCACAATGTTTTCTGCTCTTCATGATCTGGTGAAAGAAGCCAAAGAACTCGCTGGTGACCACAGCTAGTGGTCAGAGGTACATGGACTTTTGCCGTTACACTGACAATGACCCGTGGCATATTTTATCACTGATTTGTTTGCTCAATCAACCGAAACTCCTTCAGATTCATTCTTACCAACTGTTTAACATCATTTATGTAGTATTTATTTTCTGTTATTGTCTTGGCAAAAATGGAACTGGAATTGGAACTGAAATTGTTGCAGCCTTTAGTGCCTCATGATTGCTGTTTTCAGACATTTGTTCACTTTTCTGGGCCATTCAACAACTAATGTGATAATTCCATTTTCTTCGAAGGGCTGATGCTCTTGTAGACACGAAACACTAAGTCTCAGATTGTCAAGTTTAAGGTGAAGGATACGGTGAAGGATTTATTTTAAACAAACATGTATTGTAAAACAAAGTGGGTGTTGAACTTGTCTATGTAAAATGCCAATAAATTGTATTTTATAAGAATATTATACATATTGTGAAAGGATCTAAATGATTGTTCTATTCTACATTTTCAGTGTTGAAAATATTGTGGAGTTAAGTTTATAGAAACAAGTTTATTATAGAAATCACACATCAAAAACAGATATATTATATACAGTGTGGGGCAATGACTAAATCACTGTTGTAGAACTTTCTGCTATTGCACTCTGTCTACTTCTTTAAACATTACAGGCTTTAAAATTAAACTAAAAAGTATTACAGAGAAACACAACACATACTGCAAGTTGTAAATGTAGCAAATCTCACACAAAAAACTTTTTTTTACGATGCAACTACATATTCAGGGTACAGTACTACAGTGAATGTAGCATGTAACAGAATACATTAAAAAAAACATCTTTGAGTAGCTGTTCTAGCCTGGCCTTACCATTTCATTTCGTGCATGTAGGGAAATTATAATTCACCTGAGTTTACGGATGGCTAAGGCCAGGCTACAGCTGTTCCATTGTGGTGGGAGTATTGACATGATGCCATAATGTTTTCTTGGTATAAATCAATCTACCATCTCCAGACAGATGTATCTGATCCATGGGACAGCTTAGTTTGTGCTTCTGTCTTTTCAAAAACCTTTTTCATTCATGTAAATCCGTCAGTCGGGGTAATATATACACTTAAAACTTTTGTTATTGGTGTAAATGTTTGAGATACCACAAAATCTGCTACTTTTATCAGAGTGCAGGGTCCTTGCACAGACAGTACTTTTTTAAGCATCTATAGCCCCAATATGAGAGCACTGCGTCACACATAAAACACAAACTACTTACACTGAGTAGTGTTTATAAATACTGAAACTGAAGTAACACGTCCTTCACAGTTTAAGGCTTCATCCTTCTGTATTAACATGTACAGTTCCTTTTAGAGGGCAGGGTTGGTGACCTTGCCCAGCATCAGTACAGCCCCAGAGTCTCCCTCCACCACTGAGAAGAAGAAAGGCCGGTTGATGGACAGTTTCAGGGGGATGCCAGCTTCGTGGGTGGTGGCTTGAGCTTCGGTGCCTTCTTCTGACATCTCAAACGTCACCTTGTTAAGAGCCTGACACACACACACAGAACAGGTGAAGTACTTCCACAGAGAGACACAAACACACAAAAATGCTGCTAAGTCGTTACCATAGCTACAGTGAAGGGCTGGGTGTCGCTGAGTTGGCTGAACTCTGCCTGATCGCCCAGCAGTCTCTCCTCCACCTGCGTGTCCATGTTGGTCAGAAGGTCTCGCATGTTATTAACAGCAGACATGGAGAACTTGGGCAGGGACAGCTCTAGCAGACTGGGATAACAAAAGCAAATATTCAAGTTAATAATGATTAACCTGAATTACAGTTAAGGAAAGAATTTGTTGTAAAAAATCTCACCCCTCTTGTAGGTTTTCATTCCAGGAAGTCATCACATTAGTGCGTAGTTTGGACTCGATTTCTCTCAGGCTGGAGCCTTCATGGGGCAGGATTAGTAACATGTAGGACCTCTTGCTCAGGGAGAGTTTGACCACAGTGCAGCGCCGAACCTAAAGAAAGGAAAGTGTTTAAAGCTGGGGTTTATGGACCTTTTTTTTGTGCAAATATGTTAAACCCGAGCCCAGAAAAATAAGTCAAAAATTGCTCAAATCTGTCAAAATGTATCTTAATTTGAGTCAATTTTGACTGCCTTAAAACAAGATTTGTCAATGGGACAAAACAAAATAATCTTGTCTTAAAAAAGATCCCTTGGAATGAGAAAATAAAGCAACAGACTAAATGAGAAATCTTGTTTTAAGATTTTTTTTTTTTGCAGTGTGCAACAGAAATCAGTATTTTTCTACTTGATGTTTTGGTTTTCTGTAAGTCGAAGCAAACGTTTCTATTGGAAACTCGGCAGATGCTGAGCTGAGATTTGAAAACTGGTCTTGTTTATGCAGTGAACCCCCTTCGTCACTTTCTTCCCTAACTTTTCATAAATAACACATACTGTTTGTCCCAACACAAAGAGTCTTGTCAAAGTCAAACACGAACAAATCAGAATCAAACAATTCAAGAGCCCTGTGAGTCAAATGTGACGGAGACCAAAAATACTGTGAAAACTTGTGATAGAAGAAAAGTGTTTTGAGAGCGAGGGATTCGTCAGATGGATTGTATAAAGTAGTTCCATTATTGATGTTTGGAAGTGCCCCTGTGAGTGTGTGTTTAATGTGAGCTGAGATGTAGAAGTGTTTCCAGCTCTGTTGTGCAGTTACCTTGTCGTTCAGGTAGTGGTAGGGGCCGGTGTGCGTCATCAGTGGAATAGTGATGGTGGTGGTTTCGTCCACATAAAACTCTTGCTCTGTGGTTTTTTCAGCCTGAAAGACTGTTTTCCAGTTACCTGCAAAAGTACCATTCATCTGAAGTAAATGTTGGGTTCATTTCTATAAGAAGTGTTACTGAACAAATAAACGTGATTACACATGTTTTGAAGACATGTCTATTGCAGACATTCTTGTGAGCACATCAGTAAGGGCAAAGGAAGAAAGTGAGAGTTCAAATGATTCAGTGTCAACTCTCAGTCTCTATTTTATATGTGTATGTATGCAACAATCATATCATTTCTAGCTTTTCCTCGAAAGACGCTTGTCTTGACTTACCTTGAAAATTGAAGGAGCTGAGAAACAGCAGGTTGCTGCTTGCATTTAATTGAGTGAACATGTTTTTGACTTTTCCTCCTGAAGTCTTCTCTACAAAGTCGTTGACCTGCTGCACTGCCTCCTGTGAGTTGAAGTCCAGGCTGCGTATGAAGGAGGAATCTGAGAAGTCCTGTGTTCCGTGGACAAAGTCTGCTGCCAGCTGCGTCTGCGGCGGAGTGAAGGCCCACACCTGCGTGTTGATCTCGTCCTTCGGCCCATCGTCCACCAGAGAGTTGATGCTCTGCAGAGTCCTCAGCACTTTGTGTCCGTCGACCAGAGAAACACAGTCCTCATTGTCAGTGGCCCGGCTCAGCCCCAGCAGGAGCTGCAGACAAAGGCACAACGTTTGGTACATGCACTGTAAACATAGAGTACGTTTCTATAATGGTGATTTTATCATTCCCAAACACCAGTGTTTCTCCAACTGGGGTTTGTGTAGTTGCTTGTAGTTTCTTTATGTGAAACGTTCAAGAACCGCTGAATAACAATATATAATATTGGATTATAATGCTCGAATAGAGCTAATTATTACTAGTTCTGTGTGTCATGCTATTTTTGTTTCTATACATATATGCTCCATAAACACTCCATGTTACATATTCTTACAGGAAATATAGTCTTGGTCTTTCTTGTTGTAAATCAGTTGAACTAAATCTGCAGCATTAGAAACAGATTAGGGTAAAGACCTGGTAAGAGCTGGCAGTTTTCTTGGACGCTCCCAGATAGAACGTGACGAGGGTCCCGTACACATTCACTGGAGATAATAGCACGTTTCCGCTCTGCTGTTTCCCACTGAGCGCCTGGTACATCCTGAGCCCCAGAGAGTTCAGCAGCTCTGCTAACACTGCGGTCCTCTGAGTGATGTTCTGTCTCTGAGTGTCCACTTGGGACACGTTCCTCGTGTCTGGGGTCAAGACGTCCATATCAAGGGGCGCCACTGCCATCATCTCCAGGGGCTTGTTTTGGGTCTGCAGAGTCTCACAGCTGACATTTTCAGCAGCAAACAGGTAGAAAGGGTGAACATAGACCCGGTTTGCTCTGCTCCCAGCGAAAGTACAGCAGCAGAGGAGGAAGAGGGCGGCGACAATCTTCATTTTACTGTGTGATTCTGTGAAGACATATGTTTAAAAGAAGCAGTTTGAATCAAGTTGGAGTTTCTACTGGTGTAATCTAAATAGTGTGTCATTGATAAATTGACTTGTCTTTGTGTGGCTTTCATTTCGCAGTTCAGTGAATGTGAGCAAGCAGTCGCCGTAGCAACAGAGGTCATAGAGCTAATGAGAAGTCTGAAGGCATCTGCTGGACTGAGAGATTACTTCAGCCTGTGCCCTGCAGGCTGTTTCTTCAAGTAAAATCATTTGGACTTTTAAAACAAACTTTCAAGCAGCAAAAAGATTATTCCTGAAAACCCTATTACACAAAATCATTTATCTTTGAGTTGACTGAGCAGGGGTGGACTGCTGGACTTTTGGAAGACGTGAGCAAACATGAGATTATCAAGTGTTTTGGCGTGTTGCACAGGACGTGGCCTTGGTGCTTGATCAATAAAGTTCATAAGCATTTGAACTATCTCATTCAAAACATATTAGTGTGGAATAACTTTTGTTTTGATCCCCCTCATAATTATAGACAGTGTAAAAAAATAACTCATTCAGTGGTTATTCAATATTGCTATAAAATGAAAAGTTGACAATCTTTTATACATTTTCTATAGATGGATACCAGAATTTAGACCCTCGTTTAGAGCTGTCGTACACAGAGCTACACTACCCCGACAAACTGAATCTTTGCTCTTACCTTGCGATGCTGTGCAGGCTGACTCTCTGGGGGTGAATGAGCCCTGCCTGGTCCAGAGCCCACTTTTTAAGCAGTGGCCTTTGCTGTTACTGATTAACAAAAAAACTGGGGTTTGGGGCCAGAGCTGCTGTGAGTCATAGTCATGCTTTGTACTCCCCAACTTCCAATCAATGCATCCGGGCGAAAGCTTAAAGAGACGCTCAAAGCTGTTCCCTGTTGACGTTGGGGCTGCGGCTGACCCCGGTGCAGATGTGTGGGCGTGACTCCGGACATGGGCAGTTTGTTTGCAGAGCCAGCTGATTGATTACGCGTGTTCTTTGGGGTTTTGCTAAATCGTGGTGGAAAGTTTTGCAGATGATTCAAAAGTGTTCCGTGGTTTGTTGTTATGGGTTTTGAAATGTACTTTTTATGTTTGTTTCATTCCATCAGAAAATACTTGTGTAATGTTGACAAGCTGAGGTGGTCGGTCAGCAAGGGGAGGGGGATAATGTTATTCTCATGTAGTGTCATAAACATTAAATAATTCATAAAGTGTTTTCAATTGAAGACACAAATATTATGGGTAAACAAACGGAAACTGTTACTTGAATAAAGGATGTATGCACTGTAAAACTGTTACAATCGTTATATACTAAATAATATTATTTTTTAATCTTGTTTTTGGAATTTCCTGACATCTATTTGTAAATGTAGTTTCTCCAGTGCTGCCCCTTAAATGTCTCTCTGATGTTATAACCTGTGCAGGCTCCACTCTATAGGATTCCAATGGAAAAAATGGTTTATTATGTGGTTGACTAAAAAAATGTCTTGATCTTAATGAATTCAATTTCAAATATTGTTCATTATGTTATTTACTTTGTTTGATCATTACATTCAAAGTGTTTATCTGTGATGTTTGGCGTCATCATTGGCTTGACAGTGTGTACAAAACCTTTGTGGTTCTCACAGATAATAGATAAATAAATATAACATTACTATGTTAGTGATGTCACTGCTGCGTTACTGTACTCCGGGTAATGAGGACATCCTGCTTGTCCTGAGAACAGTGCAAACAGCTCAAATGTGTTCTAGTAGCTTTGTTTAGTTAGTTTTGTTGACTTTTGCCCATTTCCTTCAGTGCATCTGTCACCTGATCCCAGTCAAGGGATCTACTCTTAATAATAAATAGTAGCATTATATGTCATAGCACAATTCATAAATAATGAAAATGCTTCATAAAACAAGAAGTTAACAATTAACAATAAAAAGACTTCTTTCCTTATTATGCTACAGTTAGGGATTTCATAATAATTTAGTTTAGCGTTATTAATCATGTATCTTGAGTCGTGTGCTCCTCATTCCTACTGTTCTGTAACTTGTGATGCATCACTGAAATTTCCCCACTGTGGGAATGATAAAGGATCTCTTAATCATGCTAACTCCACACAGAAAAGTTATTAGTAAGTTTATTGTTTATAAAATGGGGACAATGTTCAAAACCATTAGTTTTTACAAAAGAAGAGATGGTTTGCACCAGATTTAGATGCAGCTACTTTCCACCTGTAGGTGAACACATAAACAAGCACTAACCACTGTGCCATCATGCTGCCCGTTCATGTAAGTAGGTAAGTAATCTTTATTTATATAGCGCTTTTTTACAGACCAAGGTCAACCAAAGCGCTTTAGAATGTTCAGAGTTCAGATATTTTTTCCATTCTCTCCACCCGGTGATGACGGAAGCGAGACGCCAAACACACTGGCATCAAAGCCCCCAACCAACACCATTCATTCACTCACTCGTTACATTGTACATACTTTTAGTGGTAGGGGAAACCGGAGCACCTGGAGGAAACCTACGCAGACAAGGGGAGAACGTGCAAACTACACTCAGAAAGGCCCTGTTCCGACATTCACTGCTGGGATGTCTTGGGATGTACTTTAGTGTGAGACCATGGGGAGACCAGTGCAGAGACCTCTATATTTTCAATCCATCCATCCATCCATTTTCTTCCCCTTAATCCATTTCTGGGTCGGGGGGGGGGTTGCGAGAGATGCCACCCAGTACACAGAGCACCAGCCCCTCACTGATCCTCCTGCAGGTGGTGAGTCCACAGGAGCTGAGATCTTTCAGTGGGAGCTTCAGGAAAAGTGGGGTTAAGTGTCTTGACTAAGGACACAACTTATTTATATAGCACATTTCATAAACACAGGTTCCAAAGTGCTGCACTACAAAACACCAGACAAAACAAGTCCATTGTAAATCAGTAAAGTTGTTGAAAATCAAACAGGGAAAAAAGAAATAACGTGTGCATATATGTATTACAATAAAACAATATAAAAATAAAATTACCAAAAAAACTCATGTCGGTGTCAACTCGGTGTTAAAAGCCAGAGCATAAAAATGGGTCTTCCTTATTATTACAGATGTTTTTCGGATGGTAAAAATCTGCTGATGGTATTGATTTGATGTGGGCGCTGAAGTCAGAATCAAATACTGTATACAATTCATTTAGCACAATTTAATAATTCTGTTAAGATTTTTAGACCGTCGCTGCCTGATGTAAAGTTGTAACGATCAGATTTTAACCTTTTTAAATTATCCAAACCCATCTTTCTCTGCAAACACAACATTTATGACTGCCACATGTGTGTTTCTCACGGTTATCATCTTTTATTATTTAACTCGTGTTGGTAAAGATCACATAAAAGCATAAACTCGACAGTATATAAGCCATGTCTTTTTGCAGTGGAGGAAAAGCAGGCTTCACCATGGCGACGCTTCTGGTCCTTTGCCTTTTCATTACGATCCATGGAGCACAATGTAAGCTACTCTCTATTTCATTTATAATATATGTCGAGAATTAAAATCCATTTAATAATCTGTTTTTCTATGTTTACAGCTTATTGGACAACAACAGGTAAAGACTTGTTTTAATTCTATTTTTTATTTCTGATTTATTTTTGTCTACAGTTATTCTAATAGTTTTCATATGCACGTACTTATGCCCATGTCAGTGTTGTGGTCTGAATTATTTACCACGAGTTTACTTTAACAATGTATACTGATTAAACAAAAAATAGATATGTACAAGATAAAAAATGCATTAAAATATGTGTTTCTTTGAATAATATGAGTGATGTTTCATGTTTTAATTTTAAGGTCCTTCGTGTCGTTACGACTGCGGCTCACACTTGGGAAGCTGCTCCTGTCAATATGCCTGTGAACTCTATGGCAACTGTTGCTACGACTACAGCTGTAAGTGTGGTCAATGGTCCCCAGTGTGTGAAAGCAGTAAATATGCTCAAATGTTTTTCCACATCATTATTTGATATGATTAGATCAACAAACTCGTGTCTAAAAAGTGTCTACTGGCCAACACCATACACATGTTATTGAATATTGTCACCACTTCTAGATAACTTTTATGAAATATGTAAACAAACCATACTTGATAACAACTTTGTTTCATGTTGATTGGCTCTGGAATTACGGAGAAATAACTCTAAACTAACATTATAGAAATCTGACGGTTGACTGTTACCATAGTTACCAGAAAAAAAAGGTTTCAGTTGCCTTCCACCACGGTGTTAAACTATAAGACCATTGGAATGTTGTGATGTCACATGAATGCAACATGTCCTTTGATCAATAATTATGTCATTTTCTTTAGATTACTGCGATCAAACTACAACATCCGAATCTTCATTAACTACTGAAGGTCCAACTACAACAACTACTGAAGGTCCAACTACAACAACTACTGAAGGTCCAACTACAACTGAAGGTCCAACTACAACTGAAGGTCCAACTACAACTGAAGGTCCAACTACAACATATGATCCACACACGACCACAGGTATGACATTCTCTGCTCGTTCTTAAATGTATTTCATCCATGATTTAATTTAATTTAATTTTTGTTCTGTTTGTGTTTAAAAATAATTCAATAATGTCAAAAAAGAAAATCCATGATATTTGTAAATAATCTCAATGTCTTTTCATCCAGGTTATAGATCGTGCCGCCGCCGTTGTGGGACTGAGCTGGATATCTGCTCCTGTGATTACAATTGTCGATACTATGGAAACTGTTGCTATGACTTTCACGGTAAGACACTTCTATTGGAACCATAATGGTATCTACTCTGCAAGGTTTAAATCATGAGGTGGAGTTTTTCACATGTGAAAGCCAGATCCTGTCAGACCTCTGCAACTGTACAGGGCAGGGTCTGATCAGTGCTGCGATGGGAGACCTCTGGGAATACTGGGAGCCACAGTGAGACGGCCGAGGCTGTAAAGTGCCAAATTGTTGTGTCCTTAGGCAAGACACTTGACCCACATTGGCTAGAATGAGTCTGATGCAATTGAATAGTTTGTGGTGGTCAGAGCAGATTTTTTTTAGACCGAAATGTGAAAAAGGACTTGCCAATCAGCTCTCAGCTTAAAGAGTCAAATAGTCCCTCTGAGGGCTCTATCCTACAAGTGTGCAAAAGATAGCATGGTCATTTTACCACTCTTTCTCTAGGGATAAACCTAATGCATTCATAAAACTAGAATAAAAGTTTGGGTTAATTGAATGGTGAGTTTAGGGAGTCGTGCGTCGTTTGATTTTTATTTTGTTTTCAAGACTATTTGACAGTTACCATAGATACCAGAAAACATGTTTCAGTTGTCTTCCACCACCATTAGAATGTTGTGATGTCACATGAACGCAACATGTTTTTTGATTAATAATGATGTAATTTTCTATAGATTACTGCTATGACAGCCCTACAACATATCCACCATACACTACAACAAGATATGCACCAGCAACTACAACAAGATATGCACCAGAAACTACAACAAGATATGCACCAGCAACAGTAGAAACTACCACAGGTATGACCTCCTCTGCTCATCTTTAAATGTGTTTCATTTCATTTGCCATTTTTGTCCTGGACCTGTTTCCTGTTAGTTTGTTCTGTTTTTGTTTAAAAATATTTCAATCATTGTTAATAATCCATAATATTTGTAAATAATCTCCTTTCATCCAGATTATAGATCGTGCCGACACAACTGTGGGTATGACCTGGGGAGCTGCTCCTGTCGACGCTCTTGTGGATACTATGGAAACTGTTGCCCTGACTACGACAGTAAGCCACTATAGCAACCATAATGATATTTACTCTGAAAACCATTACATGAATGCATTTTACTGTATTTTAATCTTACTGTGATTATAAAGTTCACCCCTAGACAAGCTACAGGTTTAAGGATTTAAAGCATTTTAGAAGAATCTAAATAAAAATAACAGCGTCCCTGAAATTCTTGTGTTTCTACAAGGTTCTTATGTTTCAGGAGTTGGAGTTTAAAGCTGAGGTACTGTACTTTCCAACCACAAATAAGTGCATTATAGAATCAAATCGTTTGGTTCAACACTAGGTTTCACATGCATGTATGTTTGGCCTCTGTCACTTCTCTAGATCAGATTATATTTTCACACAGAAAGGTGAAGAAGAGAGGACCACCCTCATTCAGCCAATCAGCTCAAAGAGTCAAATAGTGACTCAGAGGGCTCTTTCTTACAAGTCTGCAAAAGACAACCTGTCAAGGTGAAGATAGAATGTTGAAGTCTGATTTGTTCACATCATATTTTTCCAAAGCTCTTTCTCTGCGAATAAACTAAATGTATTCATAGAACTAGAATAAAGTTTTAGTGAATTGAAAAGTGAGTTTAGTGAGTCGTCCTTTTTTAGTCTTAAACAGTCTTTTGTTTGTATCGACTCTTGGTTTTACAAAGTTAATTTTCAATTTATGTTATGTTTTCAAGACTATTTGACTGTTACCACAGTTACCAGAAAACATGTTTCAGCTGTTGTCTGCCACAATAAGATATTGAAATGTTGTGATGTCACATGAACGCAACATGTTCTTTGATTAATAATGATGTAATTTTCTATAGATTACTGCTATGATACAACAACATATGTACCAGAAACTACCACAGGTATGACCTCCTCTGCTCATCTTTAAATGTGTTTCATTGTATTTGCCATTTTTCTCCTGGACTTGTTTCCTGTTAGTTTGTTCTGTTTTTGTTTAAAAATATTTCAATCATTGTTAATAATCCATAATATTTGTAAATAATCTCCTTTCATCCAGATTATAGATCTTGCCGACACAACTGTGGGTATGACCTGGGGAGCTGCTCCTGTCAACGCTCTTGTGGATACTATGGAAACTGTTGCCCTGACTACGACAGTAAGCCACTATAGCAACCATAATGATATTTACTCTGAAAACCATTACATGAATGCATTTTACTGTATATTAATCTTACTGTGATTATAAAGTTCACCCCTAGACAAGCTACAGGTTTAAGGATTTAAAGCATTTTAGAAGAATATGAATACAAATTTAATTCTTATGTTTCATGAGTTGGAGTTTAAAGCTGAGGTACTGTACTTTCCAACCACAAATAAGTGAATTATAGAAACAAATCGTTTGGTTCAACACTAGGTTTCACATGCATGTATGTTTGGCCTCTGTCACTTCTCTAGATCAGATTATATTTTCACACAGAAAAGTGAAGAAGAGAGGACCACCCTCATTCAGCCAATCAGCTCAAAGAGTCAAATAGTGACTCAGAGGGCTCTTTCTTACAAGTCTGCAAAAGACAACCTGTCGAGGTGAAGATAGAATGTTGAGGTCTGATTTGTTCACAACATCATATTTTTCCAAAGTTCTTTCTCTGGGAATAAACTAAATCTATTCCTAAGAAAAGTTTGGGTACCCCAGCTTTATGGCCCTTAAATCCAGTGGTGTCATCTTTGGGAATATTTGTAAAGAGGTTTCTGACAGATCAAAGCAAGGCAAGTTTATTGGTATTGCACAAATCCTATACAAGGCAACTCAAAGCGCTGAACAAAACAAGAAAGAAACAATCACACAAGGCGTTCGGATCATAAATAATTACAGTATGTAAAAAAGAAAGATCAAGTAAAGATTCTTTCTGTTTTTCCATTTTCCCATTTCTTTACACACTGCCCATGCTGTAGTTGTTTATATCCTGCTTATTCTCATTTAATGGTGAGTTTAGTGAGTCGTTCTTGTTTTGGTCATAAACAGACTTATGTTATATGTATGAAGTCCTGATGTAAAGTTTAACAAAGTTGTTTTTCTCTCTAACCTCGTAGATTACTGCTCATCATCTACAACGCTGCCTCAAACTACAACAGGTAATAGAATATGTAACAACAGGTAATAATCTTCATGTTACAGAAGATGTGTTCTTTCCGTTTCCTGTGGCCACAAATACTCCAGTGTTTTACAATAGTTCTAAATGTCTATTGTTTTAGATACCCCTTCATGTCGCTACAACTGCGGCTCTTGGCAGGGAAACTGCTCCTGTTACAGCTCCTGTGAGCGTGATGGGAACTGTTGCAGGGATTACCACGGTCAGTGCGTCACAAGCTAAAGCAGTGCATGTTCTTTGCATTACTAATGATTCTCGCTTTTTCAGATTACTGCAATAACACTGGATCGACCACCTCAAGCCCAGGTAGTTCATGTATTAAATGGCCTCAATGTAGGGCTGCATGATAGTAACAAAATATCCAATAGTGATTGCTCAGAAAATCTTTACAAAATTATTGTATTCCTTTAGTTGGCAATATTTTTTTTTCTCTGTGGCAATTTCTCATTTTAAATCTCTCTGTGCTAAAAAACTAGAGAAAAAGACTAGATTGGACTTTCCTTTTCCATTAGTAGAAAGTACACTCATAATGCTCTCAAATTGAAATAAATACTACCTTATTTGTTTTGTTATTACTAGCTTACTTTTGCCATTGGCTGTAATCCTTAATTCTAAACCTGTTTTAGAACACAGGCAGATGTGTATAATATGTACAAGATGATTTGCCATTAGTCAAGAAAAAAATGAGATGAAAAATTATTGCATTCAATAATTACCCCTAAAAAGGCAAAAACAATTCAATTGTGATTTCTCATGCAGCCCTAAATCAAATATTGGCAGTACATTTACACAGATTTTTGCTTCTCTGCTTCAGGAACGAGCTGTGGAGGAAATCTTTTTGGCTCTGGCTCCTTCTCCAGCCCCAACTACCCTTACTACTATGAAGACAACTCTTATTGTGTCTGGCAGATTGAGACTTCCTCTGAACAAAACCTCTATCTGACATTTACATATCTGCAGTAAGTTCTATATCGATTCATTTGTATGTACAGTATATAACAAATACTATTATTTATTCACATTAAGCTCTGTCTCTACAGACTGGATAACTGCTGTTCTTGTGACTACATCTCAGTCTACGATGGTCCATCTGTCGGGTCTCCGTTCTTGGGAAAAGTTTGCAATGACAGTCAGACCTCTTTCCACTCCTCGTCCAACTATCTGACAGTGCTGTTCCGGTCTGATAGCTCCGTGGTAGGACGCGGCTTTAACGCAGAGTTTACTAGCTCACTGACGACTGGCCTTGGTATTCCTAAATTAAAGAAAGTAAAGTCGTATTGTTAAAATGTCTGCAGTCATACAACAAGCTTCTTCCACAGGTCGCGTGGACTGCTCCTCAGACAACATGAATATCGTGGTTTCCAGGAGCTACCTCAACTCGCTCGGCATCGACAGCCACAATCTGTATCTGAACGACCAATACTGCAAACCTACCATTTCCTATTACAATGTGGTTTTCAATTTTCCCCTCAATATGTGTGGGACAGTCCGGAAGGTAATGTACGCCTCATCTTAATCACATAATTCATGTCAGAGACCAACGATCAGACTTTTGGTTTCAGTTTGACAATGGGAGGATTGTCTACACCAATGCCCTCCGTGCCTTTCCCTCTTACTATGGGGAAATTACTCGTCAGTCTCTGTTCAGGCTGAATGTGAGCTGTCGTATGGAGCAGGACTCTGTTTCTCAGATCATTTATGAAGTCAAACACCACGACAACGTCAGCATCTCAGGATCAGGACGATTCAACACCTCAATGTCCTTCTACACGTCCAGCAACTTCTACTACCCGGTACATACTGTGAATATTAGAAGTATTGTAATCGATCAAAATCCTTTTTCCAAAACATGGACAAGCACAACTTCACAGAACAAAGTAACAAATACGCATACATGTTTCGAAATCAAGCAGACGCATAAACTTCTGAAGCCCTCTCGCCAATTCAACACAGTGCCTCTGTGTTGAGGATTCGGAACAAAATCAACCAAAAAGCAAATACAAAAAACAATACAGTAGAACGGTAACACAATATCATTTATGTACAAATCAAGGCAATGCACACGCACACACACTCGGACACGACACATGCCCAAACACTCAATGACCCTACACCTCTCATACATCACTCTGTCCTCCATGAATTTCTTTTTAAACATGTTTTTAAATCATCATGCTCCACATACTGAGAGGTTGATTAGTAATTGAAGTTTATGCACTGATATGGAATACAGTAATACTGTACAAACTGTGCTGACGTGTGTATCGTGACTTAGGTTACACAAGTGCCATATCAAGTGAGGCTCAACCAGGACCTGTTTGTTGGAGTGAAGCTGAGGCGTGGAGATGACCAACTGGTGGTCGCTCTGGACACTTGTGTAACGTCGCCCTCACCACACGATTTTCAGACCAGATCCTATGACTTGATCCGCAACAGGTGAGAGAATGAAATAAGACTGAACAGTATTCCTTCAATGTTGTCAAAGGTAAAGTATAAGTGATTGTATTTATAATCACAAAAAGTTGTAACGTTCAATATTTCATAATTATTTCAACCAAAATGTCACATTTGAACTGTTATTTAACTACTTGTTTTATTATTACTGACTGAGTCCAGTTTTGTGACTGCTCTTGACTTCCAGGTGCCCTGTGGACCCCACCTTCCACTTGTACTCCTCTGGCACCGATCCTTATGCACGGTTCAAATTCAAGGCCTTCCAGTTCCTGCGCGCCACAGAACATGTGTACCTTCAGTGTAAGGTGCTCATCTGCCCAAGCTCCACCCAGAACTCCCGCTGTCGCCGCCGCTGCAGCCGGAGAGTGGCCCGAGAGCTGAGCTCTGAGCACGACACCGAGACTGTGGTCCTGGGACCCATCCAGCTGCAACGTAACACATCTGCTGTGTTCAGAATATACATGTTTCCAACTGTGATCTCATACTGTGTTTTCTTTCAGAAGAACCAGAGACCAAGGATGAAGAGGCGCTGCAGGATACTCAGGGTTAACTTGGGACCCATAGAGACATCGATTTATAACGTGATGATTAGTCTGCAATTAGAAGAACTGATTAAAAAGGCATTATAAAATACAAAAATAATGGTAATTTTCATTGAAGTCAACACAGTATGCATGTGTCAGACAGCTGCACTGCATTAGACATGAACACTCTTATATCCTCAGTTTATTTTATTACTTTATAAATAAAAAACGAAAACAATGGGTTAAAACACTTTACTTATAAATTATGTTTGTCAGTCCCACAATAAAATGATTTTCAACCCCAAAGGGATAAAGAGCCAAAAGGCATAGACATTCAGTTTTATCTAGATGACTACAACACAATCTGCAAACATAAGGCAGTCTTATGTCCCTAACATTTGTCGGCTTTGAGACAAGTATCTGGTCTGTTTTTTCTTACGTCGAGGGGAGATTATCAGTACAGAGGACTCAAGAAGGTGAACAATATGGCAAGGAATAATTGCATAAATATAAATAATCTTTAACAATGCGCTCACACCACCAGCACCCATCCAGGTCTTCTGCAGACTGCAGCAGGAGACACGGTTGGAGAGAGCAGTGTGTGACATCACTAATCTGACCAATTACATTATCACCAAAACACATTAGCAGTACATCACAGGGATCTGATCATGAGTACATGTTTGGCATAATGCTCAGCTTTACAGCAAACCTACTTCTGTAATACGGAACCCATCTGGTTAAGAATCACTGCTTTAGTAAGTTGTTAAATGCACACAACAGTTTTAAAGACACTCTGTGAATTGCAATCTCACTGCAACATGTTTTGACACATGACAACATTCAAAACAATACAATACTGAGTAAATATTTTTTAGGAGATACAGGGCTCTGTGATCACAAAGAATAAGGCCCATGAGGCTGACGGTAAGACACAATACATGGTGCTTCTACTGGATATTATATAATGACATACAATGTCAGATAATGCAACATGATGGTATTTGAAATAAAACTAGTCTTCTGAACAGAATGGAAGATTATTTTAAACAGTTCTATTAGGCACTGTAACATAAATGTGTGCATTTAGCACTAAAAATATCTTAGAAAGTAATGTTTATTTCCCCTGCTAGTTGGTGGAAGACAAGCCATACCATACACATCTCTCAACTTCACTACTGTGTGTGACTTATGGAATGCAGCCCATAGAAAACTACACGTTCTACTGCAGAAAGATAAAATACTTATAATACAAAACATGTTTTTGTGAGAAACAGACTTGAAACACATAAGTCATTCATGTGAGAACACTGATTCTTAAAGGTGCTTTGGGGTAAATTATTTTAGACACAGGTCTCAGTTTGGAATTTACACAAACTGTCTAGGTTATGTATAAGTGATAAGTCAAGAGGTGGAATACAAGTCTGAATGTGTAAGATGATTATAGAACCGTGTCTTTAATGAAACACTTCCATGGTGAATGTTACATAAACACAGTAAAATGTTCCTGTGTAAGCACAATGAAAAAAGCTAAGCTACATTGAGGCCAAATATAGGACCAATAAATAAACTATAAAAATGATTAAACGACTGAAGAGTCTGAGGAGTTTTTACTGCTTGTGCTGCCCTCGGGCAAAGTGGCAGGCAAAGTCATACTTGCTCTTGCACTTGTAGCCACAAATGTTGCACTGAAATGGGTTTTCGTAGCCATGGCAGCCCATGTGGATGGTGTAAAGAATGTTATCAGGAAAGTAGATGTCACAGTGCTGGCAGTGGTGAAGTGCATGGGGGTCCTGCAAGGGAGCGGCCAAGCCCGGAGCTGGAGTACTGGGTTGGCTGTTGGAGATGCTTGGGGTACTGTTGTGGCCGCTGTGCTCACTACAAGGCACCCCTCCTGGACTGCAGTTGCTGTGGGGTGGGGCACGGGGCTCTGGGGTGATTGGTGAAGACGAGGAGGCATGTGCCATGCTGGCAGTGACTGCCACAGGAGCTGTAGCAGGATGAGGCTGCTGGATGAGGAAGGGCTTCTCATCAACGACAGACTCAGCTCCTGGAGACATGGGCCCCTGTGTCTGCACCTGGGCCTCTGATGGAAGGCTAGCCAGCTGCCCTGCCAAAGTTGACAGCTGGTTCAGTGGGTTCTCCATGACCATATCATGGTGAAGGTGATTCTGGTTTACAGGCAGCCCTTCCTCTCCCGACCGACTCTGGTTATCGTACGCCTCCTGGCGAAGATGTGGTAGCTCGTGTGAATAGTCAATGACCTCGTCAGCTTTCTGCACCACCATTGAGGGAGGGCTGAAGTTAATGAGCAGCCGACGACCATAGCCAAGTGAAGTAGCTTTCTTTTGTAGTGCACTTAGCATCTTCTTGTGAGAAAGTGAGCGAGCCCCTTTCATTGGCAAAAGTTTGTGGCGTCTGCGGCGATGATGAGATAAATTGCTACGATCACTGCAGCGGAAGGAGCAGAGCTCACACTTGTAGGGCTTTTCTCCAGTGTGTGACCTCATGTGGGCTTCCAAGTGTCGTTCGTACGCCGAAGCAAAGGGGCAAAGGTGGCAACGATGAGGCTTTTCTCCTGTTTAAACAAAGCCCCTGTTCAGTGTTCACTCTCATATTCACGTGTTCATGTTTTAACAAACCATTTCAACACACCTGTATGGATTCGGATGTGCTCGATTAGACGAGCAGTGCCTCTTGTGGCATAGTTGCAGTAGCGACACTTCAGCTTTCCATCATAGGTCCTCTCAAAACCGTCTACTAGGATTCCTGAACTGTCCTCCAGGGTCATGTCCACAGAGGCATGCTCCAAACCATTCTGAGTGCAGTCTAGAAAGAAACAGATGATGAAAATGTAATTAACAAATGTCTATTCATAAACATTGCATTTGTTTTTTTATCCATTGACTTAGATGTCCTATACTCTTGGGTTATTAACACAAAAATCTAATTTACCAGGTGGGAGTTCTTCTTCCTCTTTTACGCCACTCACGGAGCCTGAGATCATGTTGACGTGCTGAGTTTGTTGGCTGAGATACTCTTGGAAATCTCTTACAAAGTCCAGAGTGTCTGGCTTTTCATCCCCCATGGATGCAGATGTGTGTAAACTAAAACAAATTGTTAAGTTAAAACTAGGGCAATACAGTTTATAAACAAGTGAAGTAAAGACCAATAAAACCTATGCCGCATCATCAGGTGGTGGCTAGCGTGTTCTGTCTAAAGGTTTGTCTCACCTCTTTGACACGTTGAATAGGTTGAATCCACAGTTTTGGGTCTCTATATTTGGAGCAGGCACACTGATGCTAAACAGTCTTTCGGTTGGCTCTCACACACTTCATCATTTTGTCTCTGACGGTACTGAAGCTAAGCTATGTGCTAATGCTAGCGTGTAGTGGACAAAGCATCTTTAACATGTAATGAGGAGTAGACCAGGGTAACCTAAAGAGCATTACACCATCTATCACTAGAAAACAAAAATACAAATGAAATGTTCTCCTCTGATCATCAAAAATATTTTCGAGATAAATAATAAAAACAAAATCCTGTTTGTTTGGGTTCTAGTTGCGTCGTTATAAAAGGTCCTACTCTCACTGTCGTTGCGACCACCGTTCCTACCTGAGATGTGATACGCAAATAAAAGTCTATGTATTGAATTAATGAGTAAAACAAAAAATAATGACTCTGTTCTTTGGTTAAATGTATCTGAAAATAATGATTGTAACTGCAATATTCCAATTAAGGTACAGCTTCCTGCTGCTGTCAGACTGTACAATAAGAACTGCTGAGTCTGTACCACTGACTGTACACGTGCCATTCACCTGTTCTGATCGTCGCTAGTCACCTTACCTACTATATTATTACATATTCCACACATCTGATATTTCACTAGTCACTTTATTTGTTGCTTTTATTACTATTGTTTATTCCGGTCATCGAAAGTACCTCGTGATGCTGCTAACTTCAGTATATACTCCACTAGTGCATTATACTTGAACCAAGTGCAATTATAGCTACAAAGTTTCATTTTATTATCCTAATATTTATTCTAATGTCAAATATATGAATTAGTAGATCCTGTTGGATGAGTGCTCTTATTTCCTCATTATATTCTGTTGTAATGTGCGTAACTATGACATTTTTCCCAATGTGGGGCGAGTAAAGGTTTATCTTGTCTTATATAAATATTGTTGTATGTAGTCTCAACAGCCAGCATGTACTGTTATTGTCTACCACAATGCCTACTCTAAGTCTAGTACAATATGTTTCGATAATTCCAGGAAGTTCTGTCAAGCTTCTCTTTCCTGACACCTGCATGTAAATCTTTAATTGTTAACACTTGTGCCACTAATGATGGTAACTGATAATACCTGTGACAAGCACTGTGGCAATTACATGGAAGTGGCAAATGAAGCACAACAAGCAATTGACTCATTCATGTTTTATCATGATCAATAATTCACAAAAAGGCACTTGGTGATATCACACTGCTCCATTTGTGTCAGAGTTGTAAGAAAACCACGGAGGAGAGGATGACAAATGGCCCTGTATCTGTTTACCACTTTACAGCCAGTGGTTTATGTCAGCTAAGAGTTACAACTGGGAGCACTGAACTATGCTGTTACAAGAGTACGTTGGGTTTCCTCGCAACAATTCTATGTTTCCGCAGGTAAATTCCTTTCGAGATTAGTATTAGAATCCAATGCTAAAAGACCTTTTCTTTTCTCTTAATTCCCTGACAAGCTGTTATTTTATTTTTGATTACATTACTTAATTATCATAACGATATAATGCAAAAATATAACGTGGTATATTATTATTTTATAGTCTGAGAACAAATATTCCCCGTTTTGATCTTTTCTTTTAATTTTGTATACCCATCAATCACAAGAGGTGGATATTTGAACACTAGATGGCGCCAACACACTTCTGCTGAATCACTCCTCAGCTTGCATGATGTATTATTAAATTCCTCTTCTCTCAGTTCACACATAGAATGTGGGGATGGATTGTCTTCTGGGTTAAACTTGTTACAGCCTCACTATTCCCCAGTCTGTGCTAATACCTCAGACAGTGTAAGTAGCCCTGGCCTGTCCCATGGGGCCTCATGTAAGGGACAAACAGGAGGCCACATGACAGGCGACCTCATCATTTGAACCATGACCACCAGAGCAGCCAATTACACCACCTTCTAACAGCCTGTCCACACTAATGTTATTTTATTGCAATTTAATTATGCTCAGGTTTCCACTGGAGCCAGATCCTTTTGAATAATTTACCCCTAGTCACAATGATTTGTCGCCAGTAAAAGACAAAGTGCACCTTTCTCTGCACTTCCATTCATTCAAGCTGTTGTAGTGTAATTCCAATCAGATAACTCTTTAAGCAAAATATATATATTCATAATATCTTGCATCGCCAAATTTGAACATCCACATTAATCACTTTTGAAATATTGGGGTTATACTGTAAATCGCCACACTTTATTTGGAATTAAAGACAAGAGGCGCTGTATTATTTACCTATTTGGGTAAGGGCAGTGTACTAATTAAGGAGGTTAGATCTTAGAGGGGCATTTAGACTCACTGAGAGGTGTGGGGTCTGTGTGTATTGACTATGTATACAACTGAAACCATTTTATGTGCCAAACCTTAATTTAGGTGAATCTGTTGTAGCATCAGGTAGATAGATAGATACTTTATTGATCCCCGTAGGAGAAATTCAGGTGTCCAGTAGAAACGCATGCTTTCATACAAACAAATAAAATGAATAAATAAATCATTCTAAAAGTTGCTAATAATAGTAATACACTGCAACAGCACTTCAGGTCACAGCAGCAGACGTGGAGTAGCCTCTGGGTGGAGCAGGCCAGGTCACAACAGCAGAGGCCACCGCTTGGTTCGGACCATTTTCTTTGCTCTAGTCCAAAGTAAAATGCTGAATGCTTCGTTAGCATTTTACAAAAAGGTAGCATTCCTCCTGTGGATTTTCGGCTGATCCGTTTGGTTCGGACCATGATGCCCTTTCCGCTCTGGTCTGGACCAGTGCAAAACCATGAACACTGTACTGCAGTAACAGCTCAGATAGAAAAAAGCAAGACAAATATAAATTCAAAAGCACAACTGTTTCAGAGATACTCAGGACTTGCCGACGTTACCAGCACAAAAGGTATGATGTGGTCTGCAGCAGCAGCAGCAGCAGCAGCAGCAGCAGCAGCAGCAGCAGCAGCAGCACCATGCAGGGGGAAAAGGAGGGAGCTGGACATCTGGCGTCAGGTGCATCGCATAGTAAGTAACCTGCAATCAAAAGTTGTGTCTGTGTGTCGTCCAAATAATTTGAAACATTTCTCATTCCAAACATTTCTCAATAAAAACTAAAAACAACTTTTATTTAGAGAAACATTACATTTTCAAGTGATTCAGAACTTTGGCGTCTATACTTTCTTTCATTTATGTTTTCTATTGAAGAAAACAAAACAGACACATCAACATTCAACAATAAAGAACACAATATCTGCTCTTTCTGATTCAAACAGGAAAGAAGTACATTTGTGAGTTCACACATGAAGAAGGTCATTGACTGAAACATTGTATGCATTAAAATCATCTTAAGAGCAAAGAAGTGCAGCCTTTCCTCTGCAAAACAAAGTGGGAGAAAATACAACAATGCAATTCAATACAATTTATTCTTGTATATCTTGTATATATTTTATCTTGTAGTCATCACAGAGGACTTAACAAAACATTTGAAATGACCAACACAGATCAGAGAATCAAACAGTTCAAAAGAAAACCTTTCCCATGTGTGGTATTTGGTGGACTTCATGCTTTAAATGTGGCTGTCATCAATGTTCTGCCTGCAGTGTGCTTTCTTCATCAAGGTCTCACAAGACTTATGTAAGACCAGGGTTTGAGCATGTCCCTGATTGTTATTAGCATGTTCTTTGCAGCTGACATCTTGTAAACCGGACTGAGTGAGCAGAGAAGTGGATAGTGTAATTTACTCTGGGTCTGGATAGCTTTTGGAACAAAACAAAATCTTGTAGTGTAATTGAATACAAAATAGTGTTTTGAGAGAGCAGATTTATCTTGTTAAGATGTGGGCAGGCCACAGGTTCATGGACAACACCTGTCTTGAAGAAGGCTGCAGTGTTATCCACTTGCTCCGGCTCACAGCTGAAAGGGGCCAGAATGAAAAGGTTCCCTTGTCCTCTTAAGCGCTTGATTTACTGCCTGTTTGTAGTTTAACACCACACAAGACAATTCATTTGCTTCTTCTTTAGAAAGGAAATGGGAATTTAATTTAAGGCAGGTTTTAAGCACTTTTTAAAGGCCCCAATGTCATTTGTTGGCTGCATTAGAGATTACCCTTCTAAAAAACCCTTTTAATCCCACACAAGTGCAGCCATATAGCAGCAGGCTCTTGGAGGGAGAAAGGTGAAGGGGGGCTTGGAGGAGATTTATTCTTCTCCTGACAGTGTTTCTTTCGGAGGTCTGTTGCTCCACGTGGTGTGCTGTGAAAAAAGACAGTGAGAGGTGGAGGCGGGATGAAGGAGTTATATATTAAGCTTTTCTTTCCCCTCACCACTTAATTTCCTTGCAGGCGCACCTTGTGCCAGTGTAATGAATGTAATTGCTGCCTTTGATGAGAATGCTATTATCTGGATCACACTTTACATGGGCAAACAAGACTGGCCCTCCCTCTGTCTCCTCCTCCCATTTAACTTAGCAAAGAGACCCCCCAATTATGCAGGGAACAAGTGCCTTTTCATAAAGCCAGCGTGTTGCTCTTGATTGGTAAGGCTTGGAGACGGCTACACGCGGACAAAGGATAGATTAGGCGTGATATAGGCACCACCAAAAACCCCATTTCCTTGATTAATTTCCTGCGTGTGTTGTTCAAAGAGCCCACTCTTTCTCCCTTGACTGAATCCTATCTCTGCCTTAAAGACCAACTTTCCTCATTTGATAGATGTGGAAACTCAAAGGACAGACAGACATTTTATTGACCTATGTTTGACCACAGGCTGGCTGGAGGAGCAGGGAGAGAAATGCTTCACTTCAGCATAGAGAGAAGAGTATTATTTGTAAT